AACCAGGACTAAACCAGGACTAAAACCAGGTCTAAACCAGGTCTAAACCAGGACTAAACCAAGACTAAACCAGGACTAAACCAGGACTAAACCAGGTCTAAACCAGGACTAAACCAGGTCTAAACCAGGTCTGAACCAGGTCTGAACCAGGACTAAACCAGATTTAAACCAGGACTAAACCAGGACTAAACCAGGTCTAAACCAGGACTAAACCAGGACTAAACCAAGACTAAACCAGGACTAAACCAGGTCTAAACCAGGACTAAACCAGGTCTAAACCAGGTCTAAACCAGGACTAAACCAGATCTAAACCAGGTCTAAACCAGGTCTAAACCAGGTCTAAACCAGGACTAAACCAGGACTAAACCAGGACTAAACCAGGTCTAAACCAGGACTAAACCAGAGCTGAACCAGGACTAAACCAGGACTAAACCAGGACTAAACCAGGACTAAACCAGGACTAAACCAGGTCTAAACCAGATCTAAACCAGGTCTAAACCAGGACTAAACCAGGACTAAACCAGGTCTAAACCAGGACTAAACCAGGACTAAACCAGGACTAAACCAGGACTAAACCAGGTCTAAACCAGGACTAAACCAGGACTAAACCAGGACTAAACCAGGTCTAAACCAGGTCTAAACCAAGACTCAGATGAAATGTGTTCAAAAATAAGTTTCTGTCCAAACTTTGAGCAAAACAAAAACAAAAGCAGCTCGAAAAATCCACTTAAAATCAGCTGAATTCAAAATCACTATGATTCATCCTCTGATTAATATTATTTATTATTATTTTTATTTTTCTAAAAATCTTTGCAAAATACTTTTACTTTTTACTCTTAAAGTTCATATTTAAACTGGTACTTTAATACTTTTACTGATGTAGAGCAACTTTTTACCTTTGTGTTTGTACTTTTACTTTTACTCCGGTTCTTTGAGTTTGAAGTGTGAGTCTCGTGACACGAGTCTCAGGAAAGTTCCGCAGTGAATCTTTAATCTTAACACAGTGAAGTGATTCCTGTAAAGGACGGTTGAAGCTCTGAGGTCCAGGCTCCGTCTGTTTACTTTAAATCCTCTCAGCCCATTGTGTCCGACCCAAACAAAGACCTACACTTTTCCACTCCTCCTCCTTCCTCCTCGTCTCCTTTCCTCCTCGTCTCCTTTCCTCCTCGTCTCCTTTCCTCCTCGTCTCCTTTCCTCTCTCAGAAACGTGGTCTAAACTGTCCAAAGTTTCGTCTGATCCAGGTTCAGGTTCAGGTCCAGGTTCTCTGCACGTTTCTCTGATCTAAGACTTCGATCAGGTTCTTCAGGTTCTTCAGGTTCTTCAGGTTCTTCAGGTTCTTCACGTTCTTCTCAGATTTTTTTTCGTTCTCACTCGTTCTGAGACGTTTCGTTCTCGTCCAGAGGAAGTTTATTTTAAGAGTCGAGTGAAACGATCTCGCCGCATCGACACGTCGCTTCACTATTTTAAAGTCATTTTCATATCTAACATTTTGGTCTTGTTTTGTAGCGTGTGGTTTAGACCTGGTTTAGACCTGGTTTAGACCTGGTTTAGTCCTGGTTTAGTCCTGGTTTAGTCCGGGTTTAGTCCTGGTTTAGTCCTGTTTCAGTCAGTCCTTCAGGACAAGAGGCTCTGAGGTTCTGAGGGTCTGAAGTTCTGAGTGTCTATCTGAGTTTCTGAGGATCTATTAGAGGGTCTGAGGATCTATCTGAGGCTTGGAAGATCTGAGGGTCTATCAGAGGTTCTGGGGATCTGAAAGTCTGAGGGTCTGGGGGTTTTGAGGTTCTGAGGGTTTTGAGGGTCTGGGGGTTTTGAGGATCTCAGGGTTTTGAGGTTCTGAGGGTTTTGAGGGTCTGAGGGTTTTGAGGGTCTGGGGGTTTTGAGGGTTTTGAGGGTTTATCTGAGGTTTCTGTAAATCTGCTCCCGTCTCCTCAAAATAACAAAAACGTCTTTCGATCACCACGACCAACCTGCTCCAGAACACGCCGTACACACACGAACAGACCAAACCCGCCACATTAGAAACAGGAAGTGAGCGCCGCCGAACTCCCGGCTCCATCCACTCTGGCTCCAGTTCACCTTCTATTGAAAAACCGCGGCCCGTCTCTCTGTAACCGCTGCTCTCCGGCTCCTCACTTTGGGTTTAAAACATTTGTATGTGATTCTCGAGTTTTTTATTTCACTATTTTGGGGAAGGGGCGTTACCGTCACCAGTCTCGCTCCTGATTGGCTCTTTCGTTGCTATGATACTCGCGGTCAGATAAAAATATACAAGACCTGGATTGAACAATTGCGGAAAGATTTGGAATTGTGATTTTCCTGTCAAAGAGAATTTTTGTTTTTTCTTTCAGGTTTTCCATCATGGCATTGGTTTAAAGTCCTGTTACGGAACATTTCATCAGTCCAAACAAAGCATTAACATCTCCATGGAGACGAGCAGGCGCCGGACTTTCTCTAGAAAAGTTACACAGTGCAGCTTTAACTGAACACTCGCGGTGTGTTTATTGCCGTGATTAACGTTGATTTGTGGCGTTTTCACCGTTTTTCAAAATCTAAAAGTGCAGAAAAATGTTTTTAAATGGAAATATTATTTAGAAACGTCAGATTTTGGTCTTCAACTTAAAAAAAAAAAATAAGGAAATCGCTCCGTGTGGCCGCGCCCACGTCACGATTCAAGAGATTTTACAAACTCGAGCGCGACTTCGGGTCGTCGACTCTTTCAGTTTAAGACTACATTTCCCAGCATGCCTCAGGCCCCTTTCAGTCTCAAACCAACAAAACACGCGGGAATACTCCGAAAATAATCCTAAATCCGCCGTTTCTCGTCGCCACGGGAACCAGCAACACTTCATAAAGCAAAAAAGTAAGAAATAACGTTTAAAAATGTGATATAAAAACGGGATCTGTGCAATGTCTCTCAGTTACATTCAGTATCAAAATCAACAGTGTTTCTCAAATATCGGGACAAGAAACTCGCCTCGACTCGACTCGACTCGACCTCCGCGGAATGTGTCATGGAAACGAAATGAAAAATATGAAATAAAACGTTTTTTAAAAAGGTCTGAAGAAGCGGGGGGGACGTCCTCTTTAGAAAACCCAAGTCTCCGAGACAAAAGGAGACGTAAAGAAACACGGAAATACGAGCGTAAAGATGGACCGGGGAGGAAACGTGGAGTGGAAAAGCTGCGTTAAAGAACAATTTTAGATTTATTTTCGGACGAATTATTAAAAGGTGCCATTTAAATACGTCTGAGGGAGCCCGCTCTTTTTCACTGACAAAATTTCTAAACTTTTCAATGACTTTTTCATGAGCTAAAGTGAATTTTCGATGATTTTACAAGTGTAGAATTGATCAGATTTTTTGATTTTGAGGTTAAATCTGAAATGTTTAACTCTTTCCACTCGCCTCGTGGTTTGGGATTATAGTTTTAACATTTAAAATCAATTCATGTGTCGTTCGTTCAGTTGTTTTTCAAAATAAAACCAAAAATAAAAAATGAAAAAACTATATTTTCTTCATTATTTGTCTCCAAAACCAAAATAAAAAAAACTGATAATGATTCATTTTTTTCAGTTTTCGATTTTGTGTTTAAATGAAAAATGGAAAAAACGGATAACGGACTGAACCAGGACTGAACCAGTTTTGGGACCAGACCAGGACGTAGACAGGGACCAAGGACTGAGTCCGGGACCAGGACCAGGACTGAGACCAGAACTGAGACCAGGATTGAGACCAGGACCAGACCGGGACCGGGATCGAGACTGGGGCTGAGACTGGGACTGAGACCGGGACCAGACTAGGACTGAAAACGGTTTAGTCTTGGTTCAGTCTGGTCCTGGTCTCGGTCCCGGTCTCAGTCCTGCTCTGGTCCCGGTCTATGTCCTGGTTTCAGTCCCGGTCTCAGTCCCGGTCTCAGTCCCGGTCTCAGTCCCGGTCTCAGTCCCGGTCTCAGTCCTGCTCTGGTCCCGGTCTATGTCCTGGTTTCAGTCCCGGTCTGGTCCCGGACCTGGTTCAGTCCTGGTTCAGTCCAACATCACAGTTTAAGTCACGTAAACGGGAAACGGTCGTTATCGTTTTTTTCCATTTTTCATTTAAACACAAAATCGAAAACTAAAATAAACAAATCATTATCTGTTTTTTTTTTTTTTTCATTTTGGTTTTGGAGACATTATGTTTTATATGTCGCAAAACTGCTCTAAGGTTCAGATTTGTAGCTGATATTTAATTTCAAATTGAAAGTTTTGCGTAAATTATCAATAACAAAGTGTTTTTTTTTAGAGAGAAATGCTGGATAAAAGCATTTTGTATCGTGAAAATATCGTATCGTGAGCAGAGTATCGAGTATCGTATCGAACTGAGAGAGGGACCCCGCAATTCCCAGCCCCAATGCACGTCCGAAACTTTGTAAATTTTGGAGTATTTGAGCAGGAAAATGCAAATTTTCAGCTTGTCCTGCGTTTCAGCCGACCTCTGCTATCTCAAGTAGTTGGTGACATCACACAGCACTGCTCTTTGCTGCAGCTAAACTTGAATTTCTTGCTGGAACATTAAAGTATTTTTGTCTTTAAGCAGATTTATCTTTACAGGATTCGTAGACGCTTAAAAACTGTTGGTAAATTGGCGTCGATTCTTTCTTTTTTTATTTCTTAAAAAAACGGGAAAATTGGCTGCAGATTTGAGTTTCGGTTTCGGGCGCCGTTTAACGATAAAAATGAAAAGTTGCGGTTAAGATCGTGTAGAAGTAAAGTAGAAGTAGCAGAGCACAGATACTGGACAAATATTTTTAAGACGCCAGTACTGAAAGACCCAGAGTCCATCTTTACGCTCAGTATTTAAACAAAACTCAACGGAAGCTTTAAAAAAAAAAAAAAAGAAATACTTGAAAGTTTTTGAAAATTCCTCCCTAAAAGTTTGAAAAAAATGAACCGTCTCATCCCCTTTTGTCCAGCTTTCGACAAACCTGTTTTAGTCTTTTTTTTTTTTTTTTTTTTGAGGTCTGCCGTTTCTGTCTTTCGTTTTTTTTCTTTCAAAACAAAGTGCTGCCGTCGCCGGCCCCGCCCCCGAGCGCGTCCGATTGGCCGGCCGCTCCCGCCGCCTCGCCGCTGTTGGCCACAGCGTCCAGGGAGGCGGGGTCGAAGGGGTCGGCGCCGAGGGCGACGGGGGCGTAGGTCATGTCGGCGTCGGCCATCAGCAGCTTGAGTTTGGGGATCCAGGATTTGCGGACGACGCGGCGAGCGTTGGTGCACATGTCCGCCGCGATGGCGTTCATCTCGCTCTCCTTAAAGCTCGGAGCAAAGTTCTGGCAGTAAACTGGAGGAGAAAAGAAGAAAACATTTACACGTTAAACTGGAAAAAAACTTCATGATTTTTTTACACTTTTGAAAGGACAAATATTATGTACAGTTTGCATTCTAATGTTCAAATGTCGTTTCTTACAGAAGCCGAGAGGAGTCGCAACAAACGCAAACGCCGCAACAAATACAAATGCCACAACACAACAAAAAGCCACAACACACCAAAAAAAAAAAGCCACAACACACCAAAAAAAAAAAAAAGCCACAACACAAAAAAAAAAAAGCCACAACAAACAAAAAAAAAGCCACAAACACAAAAAAAAAAAAAAGCCACAACACAAAAAAAAGCCACAACACAACAAAAAAAAAAAGCCACAACACACCCAAAAAAAAAGCCACAACACACCAAAAAAAAAAAAGCCACAACACAACAAAAAAGCCACAACACACCAACAAAAAGCCACAACACACAAAAAAAGCCACGACGGAAATGACCGCGGGACTCTATTTTAATGCAAACACCACAACAAATACAAACGCCACAACACACAACGCAAAAGCCACAACACATTAAAAAGCCACAACACATTAAAAAGCCACAACACATAAAAAAGCCACAACAGAAGTGACCGCGGGACTCTATTTTCCGACGGACCGATCAAGCGGCAAGTGAAGAAGAAGAACTACAGTCCCGCGGTCACTTCTGTTGTGGCTTTTTGTTGGTTTGTTGTGGCTTTTTGTTGTGTTGTGGCATTTGTATTTGTTGCGGCGTTTGTGTTTGTTGTGACCCTCTGGGCTTCAGTACTTTTGACTCGTTTTAAGTCTTTGACTGTTCAGTTTTTGTGCAGCACTTTGGTCGACTTTGTTGTTTTTAACAGTTTTATAACTAATAGAAAGATCTGTAACTAACAGAGCTTTAACTGGGTTTGGATTTGGAATATTCCAGTGAAAGTCAGTGGGAGTTGGGGTCAGAAGGAGCCGGAAGTGCCCGGATGAGAACTTCCTGTTTGAAGGCGGCGGTGGTGAGTGCGTTTAAATAAACAGTCTGTGTTTGTGTGAAATAGGAGCTTTTATCGTCTCTTACACTTTACGGCGTGAAGGACTCTGTTGTCCAGAGGTTTACGACTCGGGTCGTTGGTCGACGAGCGAATCCCAGTGCCACAGCTGTTCGCCAAAGTGCTCCTGAAAAACATGACAGTGAACTCCTGACTGTCCCTCCTTTGGCACGGGTCTCGGGGGTTTGGTGGGTCTCGGGGGTTTGGTGGGACTCTCGGGGTTGGCGGGTCTCGGGGGTTTGGTGGGTTCTCGGGGGTTTGGGGGGACTCGGGGGTTTGGTGGTCTCGGGGGTTTGGGTGGGACTCTCGGGGGTTTGGGGGTCTCGGGGTTTGGTGGACTCTCGGGGGTTTGGTGGGACTCTCGGGGTTTGGGTGGGACTCTCGGGGGTTTGGGTGGACTCTCGGGGGTTTGGGTGGGACTCTCGGGGTTTGGGTGGGGACTCTCGGGGTTTGGGGGTCTCGGGGGTTTGGGTGGGACTCTCGGGGTTTGGGTGGTGGGGTTTGGGTGGGACTCTCGGGGGTTTGGGTGGGACGGGGTTTGGCGGGGGTTTGGGGGGACTCTCGGGTTTGGTGGGACTCTCGGGGTTTGGGGACTCTCGGGGGTTTTGGGGGTCTCGGGGTTTGGGGGACTCGGGGGTCGGGGGTGGACTCTCGGGGGTTTGGGTGGGACTCTCGGGGGTTTGGCTCGGGGGTTCGGTGGGTCTCGGGGTTTGGGTGGACTCTCGGGGGTTTGGCGGGTCTCGGGGGGCGGTCTCGGGGGTTCGGTGGTCTCGGGGGTTTGGGTGGGACTCGGGGGTTCGGGTGGGACTCTCGGGGGTTTGGGTGGGACTCTCGGGGGTTTGGTGGGGACTCTCGGGGTTTGGTGGGTCTCGGGGGTTTGGGTTGGACTCTCGGGGGTTTGGGGACTCACCTGTCGAAGAAGGCGGCGAGGAGCCTCCGCAGCAGGACCTTGTGTCGGGTCCCGGCGCTGACGTGGCAGTTCATGAGCTGAGCTCTGGAGATGAAGACGCTGGTGCCGCTGACCAGCTCCAGTCGCTCCGCCGGGTCCCCCTCCTCGTACAGACGAGGGTGGCACCTCTGCCCGATCTGAGACACCAGCTCCGGGGGCAGACAGGCCAGCTCCGAGCGAGGTCTGCCCCCGCGAGAGCCTCTGCCCTGGGCAGAGTCCGGAGGCAGGTCTGGGAGAGCCTCCACCCGCTCCGCCACTACTGAGAGAAACACAGTTATTAAACACAGAGAGACTGAGACAGAGCGGTGCCCAAACACTAACACAAGTGTGAGAAGATCAAAGACGAGAGACTTACAGAGACCAGAGTCACTTAAACACTCAAACACACGGCCCCACAACACTTACAACCACTGAAACTATAAAAGAGCTCCAAATATACTTGATAAAAACTATTTACCACCACCAGTGTCACATTCTGAAAAAGCACAGACTCTGGACTTTAGCAACATGATCGAACTTAAAAGAGCTCGTCTGATTTAAGGTCCAACACTTCCTCACACCTAAAGGACGACATCGAACGCAAAGACAATTCAGAAAGAACCAGACGAGACACGACCAGAGGACAGCAGAGACACATGGACACTGAGAGAGTGTCCCACATACAGCTCTTTAACACTGAGAGTGTTCTGTGTTCAGGTCTTTAACACTGAGAGTGTTCTGTGTTCAGCTCTTTAACACTGAGTGTTCTGTGTTCAGCTCTTTAACACTGAGAGTGTTGTGTGTTCAGCTCTTTAACACTGAGAGTGTTCTGTGTTCAGGTCTTTAACACTGAGGTGTTCTGTGTTCAGCTCTTTAACACTGAGAGTGTTGTGTGTTCAGCTCTTTAACACTGAGAGTGTTCTGTGTTCAGCTCTTTAACACTGAGAGTGTTCTGTGTTCAGCTCTTTAACACTGAGAGTGTTCTGTGTTCAGCTCTTTAACACTGAGAGTGTTCTGTGTTCAGCTCTTTAACACTGAGAGTGTTCTGTGTTCAGCTCTTTAACACTGAGAGTGTTCTGTGTTCAGCTTTTTAACACTGAGTGTGTTCTGTGTTCAGCTCTTTAACACTGAGAGTGTTCTGTGTTCAGCTCTTTAACACTGAGAGTGTTCTGTGTTCAGCTCTTTAACACTGAGAGTGTTCTGTGTTCAGCTCTTTAACACTGAGAGTGTTCTGTGTTCAGCTCTTTAACACTGAGAGTGTTCTGTGTTCAGCTCTTTAACACTGAGAGTGTTCTGTGTTCAGCTCTTTAACACTGAGTGTGTTCTGTGTTCAGGTCTTTAACACTGAGAGTGTTGTGTGTTCAGCTCTTTAACACTGAGTGTGTTCTGTGTTCAGCTCTTTAACACTGAGAGTGTTGTGTGTTCAGCTCTTTAACACTGAGAGTGTTGTGTGTTCAGCTCTTTAACACTGAGAGTGTTCTGTGTTCAGCTCTTTAACACTGAGAGTGTTCTGTGTTCAGCTCTTTAACACTGAGTGTGTTCTGTGTTCAAACACTGAGAGTGTTCTGTGTTCAGCTCTTTAACACTGAGTGTGTTCTGTGTTCAGCTCTTTAACACTGAGAGTGTTGTGTGTTCAGCTCTTTAACACTGAGAGTGTTCTGTGTTCTGCTCTTTAACACTGAGAGTGTTCTGTGTTCAGCTCTTTAACACTGAGAGTGTTCTGTGTTCAGCTCTTTTAAAGCTCAGATGAAAATCTGGAGATGTTCAAACCAAACATGGACTTCTGTTTACTGCGACTGTGATTTTAGTTGATCTTCTCGACACACGTCTGCATGTGTTGAGGCCAAACTGACAGTAGAATAATGTGAACTGTGCAGTGACTGTGTAAGATTTTATTGTTTGGCCTCTGTGACCTCAGCACTTTGGGACGATGGATGTTGTGTCATTTTGTCCATTAACTGTGTCCCAATCAAACTAAATTAAGTCTTTACCTGTAGGATCAGTGTGGAACATGTTGTACATGTCACAGATTTGTCGTACATTAGTGTAGTGTGTAGTTTGTGTATTTACCTGCGGCGTTGGCGTTGAGCATGCTGTACATGTTGTACATGTTACAGATTTGTCGGTACTGCTCTTCGCTGTCCTCCACCTCCTCCTCCTCCTCTTCTTCGTGGAAGCTGCCGGGCGAGTCGCAGGAGGGGCTGGCGTACAGGCTCATGGTGCCGGGGCTGGCGCCCTCTGGTGTCCCGCCGCTGCTGCTGTTCTGGACGCTGTTGGTGGAGGAGGGGGCGGGGCCTCTCATCGACCCCGCCTCCTGGTTCAGGTTGGAGGAGAAACGCGCCGCCTTCCTGGCTCCGCCCCCTCCTGTGCCCGACACCCCTCCTCCTCCTCCTCCTCCTCCTCCAGAAGCCCCGCCCCCTCCGTCACGACTGGATCCCTCCCACAGACGCTTGGCGACCGGCGTGCACACCACCGAGTACAGAGAGCCCTCCTGCCACAGACGACCAATCACAACCGAGTACAGAGAGCCTCCTGCCACACACGACCAATCACAACCGAGCACAGAGAGCCTCCTGCCACACACGACCAATCACAACCGAGTACAGAGAGCCTCCTGCCACACACGACCAATCACAACCGAGTACAGAGAGCCCTCCTGCCACACACGACCAATCACAACCGAGCACAGAGAGCCTCCTGCCACACACGACCAATCACAACCGAGCACAGAGAGCCTCCTGCCACACACGACCAATCACAACCGAGTACAGAGAGCCTCCTGCCACACACGACCAATCACAACCGAGCACAGAGAGCCTCCTGCCACACACGACCAATCACAACCGAGCACAGAGAGCCTCCTGCCACAGACGACCAATCACAACCGAGCACAGAACATCCACAGAGCAGCTCCAGAGCCTCATTTATGTTTGTCTGTCTTTTCATATTCAAAGTTTATTTTATTCATTTTATGTTTTATACATTAAAAAAAACAGCTCGAAGGTTCAGATTTGTAGCCCATATTTATGTTTAAATTATCAATTAAGTGTTTTGCTTTTTCTTTGAGAGAAAAAGAAATGCTGAAGAAATCCATCGTGTAAATAAAAAAATATAAGTTTGATTCATCGTGATTTCAATATTGGCCAAAATAATCGTGATAGTGATTTTTTTTTCATCTTGGATTCACCGTCCAGATTTGATTATAATTCCACGATCGATATCGGCGACAAATGAGGATCAAGTCTCGATACTAGTTTCAGTTTTGATTAGTGTCTGATTTTTGATATTTGTGATAATCCCAGACTAAACCAGGTCTAAACCAGGACTAAACCAGGTCTAAACCAGGACTAAACCAGGTCTAAACCAGGACTAAACCAGGTCTAAACCAGGACTAAACCAGGTCTAAACCAGGATTAAACCAGGACTAAAACCAGGACTAAACCAGGACTAAACCAGGACTAAACCAGGACTAAACCAGGTCTAAACCAGGTCTAAACCAGGTCTAAACCAGGACTAAACCAGGTCTAAACCAGGACTAAACCAGGTCTAAACCAGGACTAAACCAGGATTAAACCAGGACTAAACCAGGACTAAACCAGGACTAAACCAGGTCTAAACCAGGACTAAAACCAGGTCTAAACCAGGACTAAACCAGGTCTAAACCAGGACTAAACCAGGACTAAACCAGGACTAAACCAGGACTAAACCAGGACTAAACCAGGACTAAACCAGGACTAAACCAGGTCTAAACCAGGTCTAAACCAGGTCTAAACCAGGACTAAACCAGGACTAAACCAGGATTAAACCAGGACTAAACCAGGACTAAACCAGGACTAAACCAGGTCTAAACCAGGACTTAAACCAGGACTAAACCAGGACTAAACCAGGACTAAACCAGGTCTAAACCAGGACTAAACCAGGACTAAACCAGGTCTAAACCAGGACTAAACCAGGACTAAACCAGGACTAAACCAGGTCTAAACCAGGATTAAAACCAGGACTAAAACCAGGACTAAACCAGGTCTAAACCAGGACTAAACCAGGTCTAAACCAGGATTAAACCAGGACTAAACCAGGACTAAACCAGGTCTAAACCAGGTCTAAACCAGGATTAAACCAGGACTAAACCAGGTCTAAACCAGGACTAAACCAGGACTAAACCAGGATTAAACCAGGACTAAACCAGGACTAAACCAGGTCTAAACCAGGACTAAACCAGGACTAAACCAGGACTAAACCAGGTAAACCAGGACTAAACCAGGTCTAAACCAGGACTTAAACCAGGACTAAACCAGGTCTAAACCAGGACTTAAACCAGGTCTAAACCAGGACTAAACCAGGAAACCAGGACTAAAACCAGGACTAAACCAGGTCTAAACCAGGACTAAACCAGGTCTAAACCAGGATTTAAACCAGGACTAAACCAGGTCTAAACCAGGATTAAACCAGGTCTAAACCAGGACTAAACCAGGTTTAAACCAGGATTAAACCAGGACTAAACCAGGTCTAAACCAGGACTAAACCAGGACTAAACCAGGTCTAAACCAGGACTAAACCAGGTCTAAACCAGGTCTAAACCAGGACTAAACCAGGAGGTAAACCAGGACTAAACCAGGTCTAAACCAGGACTAAACCAGGTCTAAACCAGGTCTAAACCAGGACTAAACCAGGTCTAAACCAGGACTAAACCAGGTCTAAACCAGGTCTGGACCAGGACGGTCTGAGGCTGGTACCTGCGGTTGAGGCGTGGACGCCGTCTGCTCCGTCTTGATCTTCGACACCAGGGGGAGGGGCGTCTGGCAGGAGGCGGGCCTTCCCGTGACCGAGGCCACGCCCCCCACCCCGCAGACCCCGCCCCCTTGAGTGACGGGGCTCTGCGGCTCCGAGGGCGGAGCTTCCTCTGCGTGGAGGCCCTGGGAGTCGCAGCTCGGAGACGAGACCTGAGGAGAGAGACACGACGTCAACCACATGAACTGAAGGAGGAGGCGCTAACCTGAGGCACTGCTCTGTCTGAACCTCTGTTAATCAAGTCAGACTTTAATCTGAGCTTTAATTTAACACAGTCTGACCAGAAAGAGCTGATTTATCTGAACTACAACAGTTGAGCTGATCTGTTTTTCTCTCTCACCTTTGTGTTGAAAATCAAACCAAAAAAAATCTAAAATGCTCTTTAAATCCATTTTGTTTTTGTTTGTTTTTTTCAGGCTGTGTTTATGTGCATTGTGTCTCCGTGGTAACTGCTGATGCTCTGGGTCCTGTGGAGACGCTCGTTACAGCAAATGTCACCGACGAGAAGAAACAGAGAAAAAAACAGATCTACAGCTTTAATATTAAGACCAGGACTAAACCAGGACTGAACCAGGACTGAACCAGGACTAAACCAGGACTAAACCAGGACTGAACCAGGACTGAACAGATTCACACAAACAGCAGTTGGTGCACCAAAGGTTCCACTGGATCCAGAAGCTCTGAGTTGGGTTGGTTTTTGTTGGTTTTTGTTGGTTTTTTGGTTTTTGTTTTGGTTTTTGTTGGTGTTTAAGCTTCAGTCGCACTCAGATCTGCGGTAAATCAAACGGACCGGGACCTCAGAAAAGAGCTGGTCTCGGCCCGACTCTGCACCAAACACCAAACTCTGGTCCCTCTGGTGAGACGCCAACTCAGGTGCAAACCACAGACTGTTCCAAATGCATCATGGGAGGGAGACTCATGATGTCATTTCCTGTTTGTGGCGAGTGAAGACGACACAGACCGAACCTTGAACCGCGGCCAAACGAGCTCCGAGTAACAGTAGAGCGACCAAAAGAACCAGAACTGATTTAATGAACCACTGTCAGTTTCCCTGAAGTGACCGTGTGGACTTAGACCTGCAGGTCCACCGGGTCGACCTGTGTGTACTGGGCCGGCGGGCCCCGGTTAAAGGTTGTATGGAGGATGTTTTTTTGTTTCAAATTGTCAGTGATAGATTATAGATGCAGTCGCCTTGTAATTATGATGACCAAAAAAAAAGAGAATAAAAATTCATCAACTCTGGACGTGGTGGGGCTAAACATTTGCCAATAGATAACGACACTGCCTCGTTATCTGTGAGCTGACAGGCTGTCAATCAAACTCCCTACGTTTCTAGTGTAACTGACTTGCCTGCGCCGCCGGTACGTGGTTTACGTACGACTGTCACACAGTCCACGACGCAAGACGCACAGACGCTGTTTACTCCACCAACGCAACAGTTCTTAGCGGCTTTTTTGACCTATATCTTCCTCGCAGTTCGCACAAAGTTTGTTGCGATGGCGACAAGAATCCAGGAGCAGTTCGCCGCAAAAGAAAGTCTGTTTTTGAGGTGAAAGAAGAAGACAAGGGGAAAAGCAGCGAAGCCAAACTAAGGTGATTCTTGGAGATTCATTCCAGCGATGGCGCGACTGAAGCAGACGAAGGGTCTAAAGACTGAACCACTGGTCCACAAATTACTCCTGGACAGGAAACTTCTGCTTATTATGAAAACGTACTTTATTTCCAAGAGCGAGACAAACGTTTTTCAGGACACGAATGTGATATCCTATGTCTGAAAACATAATTTTCAAGGCAAAGAAAGAGTCACTTGCTGCTGCGTGTTGTATTAGGAGCTTCATTCGCACTGAATCTCCGCGCACCACTTA